TTCGCATTCAATCGCCGATAGTCGCCAGTTGGACGCTAATCGTTGCTGTCCTTTTTAGGGACCATGTGCAATGGAGATGCATATGGGCTATTTGACGGTCGTATGATTCCTAAGTCTATCATGTGGTCGAACTCGTTTTTCGCCAACCTTAGCTTTTCAGGGGCTAGTCGTCGTGCTTTAGAGAATACAGGTGGTCCTGTAGTCGTGAGGTGATGTGTAACGTTGCTGGTTACACACGGTAGTTTCGGTTGGGTTTGATGAATCTCAGGATACTTATCGAGTAGTGGTTGATAAAGTGGGTCTATCGTATGCTTAATTGTGACTGCAACCAGTAAAAGAAGTTACTCAAACGGATAAATTAGTGTGTCCGTCTACTAGCCTCCGTTTGCGCGTATTGATGATCAGATTATGGTGTTGTAGAAGGTCCATACCAATGATTGGCATAGAAACATCTGCAACAACGAAGATCCAGTGAATGCGTTTGCGTAAACCCACGTTCAGGTAAACGTACCTTTTGCCATACGTAGCGATAGGTTTTCCGTTTGCCGCCGATTCGTGAGGTCGGTCGTCAGAATTCGCTGGGAGAACGCTAACTTCTGCGCCAGTGTCAACGAGGTAGCGAACTCTCGTTGTCACATCTGTGACATATAACAGACGGCTATGTTCGCGGGCTACGGTTGGCGTTAACGCGTGCCGGCTTGGAAGTTTCCTGAGTTGTTTTTCGAGTCGGTCGGTTTTGTGTTTGGAAAATTGCAGGGTTTTCTGCAATTTCTGGAAGACTTCACATAATGGTTATGATACCAGCACCAGTCGGGATTATCCGTCTCTCGTGGTCTAGAGACAGATCGCTTACGTGAGATTCTTCTACATGGGGTGTGTGATCGCTTACGGTCGTTACGAAAATTAAGATAACGCTTAAGTGTAAAACATAACTCGGTTATGTCATTCTGAGTCGTTTGAGGCTTTTCTTTGACTGGAAAAACCTCGGTAGTAGAAGATTTCGTAATTTCTAAGATATGATCGGCAGATTCAGCCAGCTTGTCCAAGGCGTTTTTCTGAAAAGAGACCAGAACTGCTTGCACCTGCTGGGGAAGTTTAGACAAGAAAAGTTGCTTGAATAGGCCTTCGTCGAAAGTTGTTAGGCCTATTACCTCTCTCATCCTTCACAACATGTCCGTCGCAGAACTGTGTTGCATGTCTATGTTATTAAAGAGTTGGTCTAACCTTTGTCGGTCGGTTAGGTCTCCTCGTTCAAGAATGGAACGCTTTAAGGTTTCGTACGGTTCAGAAACATCACTAGTAAACATACTAGGTGTTACGTACCTGTTGAATTCGCGCGGTAGTGCCTTGACTACTGCGAGGAACTGTGCACGTGTGGCGTTCACGCCGTGCTCGTGGAAGTCGGCTTCTGCGTAGCAGAACCAGGCTTCGATATTGTCGGGCCAGAAGGGCATGAGTTGAAACGAGGGTGGTGACATGGTCTTAATCTTAAATACCTTGGGGGTCTGTTCAGTCATAGGGGAAAATTAAGTACGAGAATACACGAGTGAAAAATATATAGATATCCAAAAACGCGGGAAAAAATATCACAATGTATAAAAAATTAAAATAAAGCAATGATATATAGAATCCCAAAATGGAACAGGCTCACAGTTTACGATTTGTGTACTAGATTACGTCAGGCTCACCAATGAAGATGGCACAGGTATTCAGTGTTTGACAACGCTTTTACCAGTAACACCTTCTAATATAACTCGTACCCACCAAGAGAAATCAAAAGACAGAATCGAGGAGATTAGAAGTTTTATTTGACGATTGCCAATATATCGGAATTGTCTGATCTAGTCTGGCTAGCAATTGCAGTAGATCTTGAGCACGACGTTCCCACACATGATCTGGTGTGGATGCATGACCAAGTGCCTTCAGCTAGGTGAGTCCACTAAAACATGTGGTCAGCATCCAATGTCGAAACCTTACAGAGCTATTTATTTTGGGGATTTATTTACCGCTACACAACTAATTCGAGATAACTCTCAACAACAGGTCCCAAGCCTTACGGAATCTACTCAACAAATAGGAATCTACCATGAAGGACATTTAGAAATGAATCGACGAAGCACTAACTTTAACGTGTCAGAAGGTTCTGTGTCGCAAAAAGCATCATCATAAGTAATGGATCTCTACCGAAACACTGGACAAGATTCAAGAAAGGAAGAATAGGGAGACAGTAACAAACAACAGCTGAACAAGAATAGAAAACGTCAAGGCACAAGCTGAATACACTGAAGCTGAAAAACAAGTGAAGAGGACCATTAGAGCCGACAAGCAGAAATATGTAGAAGACCTGGCAACGACAGCGGAAAAAGCTGCAAAAGAAGGAAATATGGAACAATTATATGACATAAAAGAGAGACTAGCAGGGGAATATAGCAAACCAAAGAGACCGATCAAAGACCAGGAAGGCAAGCCAATCACTGGGATCCAAGAACAAAGGAATAGCTGGACCGAACACTTAGATGAACTCTTGAATAGACCAGCTCGATCGATCCCATCGGACATCGAAGCAGCACACAGCCCTTCCTATAGATGTTTCTTCACTAATGATCGAATAAATCAAGATAGTCATCAAACAAATCAGAAGTGGGAAAACAGCAGCACCTGACAGTTTATCAGCTGAATCACTAAAGTCAGACATGGGAGCAACTGCAAACATGCACAACGTTCTATTCAGAAAGATTTGGTAGGAAGATTAAGTGCCACCGACAGAATGAAAACAAGGTTATTTCATCAAGATACCAAAGAAACGAGATCTGAGCAAATGTGAGAACTACAGATGCATCACACTAATGTCGATACCAGAAATAGTTTTCAACAGAGTGTTGATGAACCAGATGAAAGACTCAGTGGACGTCCAGCTTCGAGATCAACAGGTCGGATTCCGTAGGGATCGGTTGTGCACAGACCAAATCGCGACACCATTGATCATCGTTGAGCAATCGACTGAATGGAACTCATCACTATACATCAACTTCCTTGTCTATGAGAAGGCGTTTGACAGTGTGGATAGAAAGACCTTATGAGACCTTCCTCGACACTACGATGTACCTGAGTAGATCGTCAACATCATGAGGAATGTATACGACGGACTACAATGCAAAGTGATGCATGGAGGACAGCTAACAGACGCATTCCAAGTGAGGACCGGAGTCAGACAAGGATGCTTACTCTCACAATTTCTCTTTCTTCTGGTGGTTGACTGGACTATGAAGACCTCCACATCTGAAGGGAAACACGGAATACAACGGATAGCTTGCATGCAACAAGACGATTTGGACATCTCAGACGACCTGGCCATCCTATTCCATACACATCAACAACCAATGTAGCGGCAGTCTCTGAATTAGTAGGCCACAACATACAAAATGGATGAGCCAAGATCCTCAATATACAACACGAGAGCACCAACACAATCAAACTTGATGGGGACACTCGGGAAGGTGTGGAATCTTTCGTATACCTGGGAAGCATCATCGACGAACAATGCGGACCTAATGCAGACGTAAAGGCAATGATTGGCAAAGTAAGGACAGCTTTCCCACAGTTAAAGAACATATGCAACTCAAAATAACTGTCAACCAACATCAAAGTCAGAATCTTCAATATGAACGTCAAAACAGTTCTATTAAACCGAGCTGAAACGTCGAGAACTACCACAAACATTATCAAAATATACAGGTACTTGCAAACAGTTGTCTACGTAAAATACTCAATGTCCGTTGGTTGCATACCATCAGCAACAGCATACTGTGGGAGAGAACAATCCAGCTTCCAGCTGAGGCGGAAATTAGGAAAAGACGATTGAAGCGGATAAGACACACATTGAGGAAATCACCAAACTGTATCACGACGCAAGTGACAACTTTGAATCCTGAAGGGAAATGGAAAAGAGGAATGGCAAAGAACACAGTGAGTTGGGGATTGGAATTAGCCATGAAAAGGATGAATAGCAACTGGAAAGAAGTGGAAAGGATTAACTAGGACAGAGTTGGATGGAGTATGTTGGTGGGTGGCCTATACTCTTCCATGACGTGAAACAGGCGTAAGTAAGTAAGTAGGTAGGTAAGCAAACAAGTGAGTAAATAAGTAAGTAATGAAAATGGATTCAGTTCAGAAAGATTCCTTTTCATCTTCTGTCATCTTAGTAAACCAAATTATTCAATAATTCCAATTTCTTTACATATTCTCCTCACAATTATTTAACCCAAATAATTTGTTTCGACCCGTGTTTCTCCAGCAAGTGGTTTATTAAGCTTCAATCATATTTTGAACTGTACTACAAATCTGGTCCTCAAATAGTTTGATTAATTCAAGATATCTATTTTCTTATTTCATGTCAGTAACAGACCTTCACACCTTCTTGGTTTATTAGAGGCAGTGAACATTATTCATGAGGTAACGTGGGTGGTTATTTAGAGATCGGGTTGATCATCCACTCTGGTTAAACCGGTGAAGATTGAGGTAGTTAACTGACTCATTTTATCCTATTTTACAAGACTCAACATCCAAATATGATTAGTTTAACACAGTATAGTTCTGTTTGATAAGAAGCTACATATTTCTTTGATGATTTTGATTATTACCCTGAAGAAGTTCAGACAAATTAGCTGGACGAAACGTTGGAATTATTTAAATTTCAATCGCTGAGATTATTTCAAATATAATTTTCACATATAATGCGGTTAGTAATGTTTACCAAAAAACTTCAAAATAATCAGGCTACACCTTTACTCCCTTTAGTTATTACAACAGATGGTTACAATTCATTGGTCTACAAAAGAGCGCATACAGACAAAATTGGTTGAGTGTCATCCCCCCACAAGATTTTCAAGTAGTTTAATTGGATTAGCAATGGAGTTTTAGATTTATGACATTGTCAACCAGTTATGTATAACGGTGATCATTTGGATATTTCAGGTACACCTACGTTGTATTTTATTGGCCAAAAATCAAGACAAAGTCAGCTCATCGACGTGGATTTTATATTTAAGTAGTGAGTCTTTCTTGGCTGACTTGTTAGTTCGATAACTGGTTCTATTGTTTCATTTCACTGTATTGCGTCAGAATGGTCAAGTGAGTGGACTCTTACTAATATTATATAACGTTTTCGTAGTTCATTATAATACTTACCATTTATTGTACATGATCTTTATTTATGCTTTAGCCGAGCAGAGGCTGCACAACTTTTGAAGCACCTTGATAAAGATAAAAGTGGGAAAATTAGCTCAGTCGAGCTAATGGAATTTTTGAAGAGCGTTAACTGTCCATTCAATAAAGAACAAGTTGATAAGTTTATTCATCAGCACGACAAAGACGGAGATGGACAATTAAATACTGATGAACTCCTTGATGTTTTATGTTCATAATTTCTTAAATTTTTAGTAGTGTTTCTTTCATAAATAAATAGTATTTTAATTTCACAACAAAGAGTTTATAAGACTTCATTTTAAAACGGGTATTTTCTGTCGATTTGTTTTCTTTAAAAAAAGTGTTATTTGGCGGGTAGTATATACCAGGTGGTTTATTCGGAATACATTGTCGTCACATGTACTGTAAAATGCTGTTTTTTATGAAACCTTCACAATTCACGTTAGAGGGTATATGAGGATATATTTCGGTCTGTTACTCTTGAATTATGTCCTACACCTCTCGAGTACAATGTACACGTTGTAAGCTCTCATAACAACAAGGACAACTTACCTTTTATGTACGTAGTACGCGATGAAATTTCAAAAAGCTGAACCTGAATGTCTGTGGGAGGTTATTTCTTAAAATTTGTATGGATTCTAAAGAGTTTGAATACACGTTATTAACAAATCGGTTTACTTAAGCCTCATCAATTTCTTGGATATTCCGAAGCTGTGAATCGAACTAATAAGTTGTTGATTATTGCTTCGTGTCCAACTTTTTGTCATATGCGCATAATTTTCGACCATTTATAAATAGTCATCTTAGTCACTTGTTACTTGCCAATATCTCATTGTACAATGCACCAATCATGTAGTAATTACATGTGTTCTGTTCTTTAATATAAGTAATCCACTGATTATTTGTTCAGGTCTAATTATCCTTCCCTCTGTTTTGCTGTTGCTATCCTGGCCACTGACAGATACTCTAATTTTGTATTTCTCATATGTTTAAGAAGACTATAAAGTTTTCAGGTTAGAAGGGATCGAAAACTGGATATTTTTAATTTCGGAGTTATTTAGATATAGGATATTCGGTTCTATGTCCAGTCTGAGAATCATTGGTTTTGTGAAGATATACGATAAACCATTTACTATTTTTCACTCACTTAGTGAACAGTTCATCGTAATATTTGATAGAACACAACTTTGATTTTCACATGGTAATTTTAAATCATTAACTAGAGTCAAATTACTTGCAAACAGAATCTCATAAATGCGCAAATGCTACGGCGTTTAGAATACATATCCGCCATCAAACATTGAGTTTACATTGTACAGATGAATAAAATTTGTGTAAGAATAACAAAGAAAAAATTTCGTAATTTTGGAATACTTGCTACTTATCAGTGATATGCACTTTAATCAATAATAGAGAAAATACTTATTTCTAAGTAGTTTTCAATCATGCACGCGTCCATTGTGTGATTTTTATATGCAAATATATCGATTTAGAAATGTAAATAACCATGCAAGTACAACATGGTAGGTCGCGTCACAATTGTCAATCAGATAAGTAAAATTTCAGGTAAGAAATATGCATGACCTTTCTTTAGAGTGTTATTCATATAATCAAAAGAATATATATATGTAGTAGTGTAGCGTTCATTCAAAGTAGAGATGTTCACATTATTGAAGAGAACTCATTCCAATCATTAAACCTTAATAATTATTGTTATTGTGTATTATATACACTGTATAAACGAAAACTTCATTTTTAAAGTCACTTTGAAACTATGACCATATCAAATAGCATTATAGTAAAATATATTAAACGGTGTGCATAGACAGAGTTTAAAAAGGCTCTCCATGACAATCGTATTACAATTCAAGAATGAAACTAATCTTCTTCTATGAACCTAGAAAGCGACTGATAGAAAGTGCACAGCCTTGTGAATACGCTTGGTAATTCAGTGTCTATTATTCTTTAGTTCTTGGATTCAGTCAGTCAGTAACAACGTAGAACTTCGTACGTACGTACATCAGTTCGAGTTGCCACACCACATTAGCACAGAGATGCAGTTGTCGATTCAAATCCCGTAGTGGTAGACGTAATAAGAGTATAAGCAGTAATCCGGAAGATTAGGGTTTGGAGATGTTATTTAAAGAGTATAATCCAGTGAAATAAATTTGGAAAGAGGAAAAAAAGGGAAATGAAGAATTCAGAAGATTAGAATTTGGGAGAACACAGAGAGTGGATGCACCTGTGCCATTGCAAACGATTTTGAGCCATGTCATTCAGGGTCTCTAACCATCGGTTGCTATCATCTCGCGGTCCCCAACCAGGTAGTCTACACCTACCAATATAACTCAGTCCACTTGTCAGTGACTTCATGGACTTGTGCCATGTTTTGGTTTGGCCGCCCCTAGCTTTCTTCCAACCTACTCCTATACCACTGAACATCGCACGTCGAGGCAGTCGGTCGTTGGGCATACGTAACACGTGTCCCAGCCATCTCAACTGATGAAGTTTCACTACTTTATCAATTGATTTGCCATCCTTACCTAGAACCCGATCCCTAACAACTGTGTTACTTACTCGATGGTCCTAGGATATACGAGCAATGTTTCGAAGACACCTATGATCGAATACTAGTAACCTACGAATATCCTCTACTCTTACCGGCCATGTTTCACTGCCATAAAGTAGGACAGAACAAACTGCTGCGCAGTAAACCCGTCCTTTGGTTGATAGATGGATATCTCGCCTACGCCATAAATGACGCAAGTTGGTAAAAGCTAGTCGAGCCTCCTGTATCCGTGCTGAGATTTCGTCACACACCAGACCACAAGGGCTGATGAGACTTCCAAGATAAGTGAAGCGGTCGACACACTCAACTACTTCACTCCCTATCATTAGTTCGGGTATCGATGTAACCCAATCCTGAAGCAACATTTTGCATTTCGAGGAAGAGAATCGCATCCCGAACATGCTTGCATTGTTGCTTAGAATGGTCAGAAGACTCTGCATTTTGTCAGCGTCTTCATCAAATAAAACTATGTCATCAGCATATTCTAAGTCAACAAGTGAACCTTCTGGTAGAAGTTCAACCCTTGGAAATTTAGATGAGGAGAGTGTTATCTCTAAAAGTACGTCGACCACAAAGTTGAACAAGAATGGGGAGAGTGGACAGCCCTGACGAACACCACTTGAGGTAATCAATTCTGATGACAGTTTGCCATAAGCTTTCACTCTACCAGTTATGTTCGAGTAGAGAACCTTTATAAGATTAATGGACTTCTTTGGTACTCCTTTCAGTGACAAACACTGCCATAGAACCTCACAACCAACAGAGTCGAATGCCGCCTTAAGGTCGAGAAATACTACCATTGTGGGGCGTCTGAATGTGTCTGTGTTCTAGAACCTGACGTAGTGTGAATATCTGATCTATACAACCACGTCCAGGTCGAAAACCAGCCTGATTTTCTCTAATCTGCTCTTCACGAGCTGTGATTAGGTGTCAAAGTATTATTGAGGCTAATATTTTAGACACTATATTAGTCAAACTGATTCCTCTGTGATTGTCACAAGAGGACTTTTGTCCTTTCTTATAGACTGGCACAATCAGTGATTGAGACCAGTCAGATGGGATTACGTCCAGTTCCCAAATTCTACCTAAGACCTCAGTTAATCTCACTGCTATTACTGAACCACCATCTTTAAAAATCTCGGAAGTAAACCTGTCAGGGCCTGCTGCCCTCCCTCGCTTCAGATTTCCTATCGGTTTTTGAACTTTGTAAAGAGTCGGAGGACCTACATTAACTTGCCATTCAGGTTGACTGGAGATCGTGGGAAACCGAAATGTGGCTGAAGGCCAGTTGAACTGATCCCTAAAGTGTTCTGCCCATCTATCCAATCTCCTGGATTCAGGATGTATAATATGTCTATCTTTCTCTGAGATTGTTTCGCTAACAGTCAGGTTCCTAATACCGGTTTCCTTAACGAGTCTGAACAATTGTCTGCTATTACCTATTGCCGCTGCCTTTTCCATCTCTCTTGCTTTCGCTACCCACCACTGTTCGTGATCATTGCGTAGGCTTCTTGTCAGCTTGCGCTTAAGCTGACTCCGCTCTTCATTATGTTCAGAGCCAGGTGGAATGAGTATCCGAGCGTCTATCAGTGAGATAGATGCTGCTGAGATCCAGTGTTGCTCCCTAACCTTCTGGTTTACCTTACTAGCAGATATCACTGCTGTTTCCACAGCTTTTCGGATATCATTCCATGCTGCATCGGGGTGGGCATCACATACATGGCTGCCTAACTGTTTTCCTAGTTGTTCTTGAAATATACTCTTAGCTTGACTATCATTAAGTAGGCCCCTAAGAGGTTTCCTTGCAGCGTCTTTCCTACGTCCAGTAAGACGCAAGCAAATACGCGCTCGTACTAGAGCATGATCTGAATCTAGGCATGTGCTCCAGAATGAGCGACAGTCTTCTATCGAGCACCTCCATCGGTGGCTGATAGCGATGTGATCTATTTGGGTCCAACGTTGGGATGAATTAGGGTCTCCATGTTAAAAGATGTTTTTCCTTATGTTTAAAGTTAGTATTTGCAAGGAACAGGCGGTTATCTGAGCATAGCTGCAACAGACGGTCGCCATTATCTGTTCTTTGAGCCACGACACCATAAGATCCACCCAGGTGTCTTTCCCTATCGCTTAGTTTACCTACTTGAGCATTAAAGTCACCGGCCACTATTACTACATCCGAGCGCTTAGCTTTTCGGAGAAGGTCCGAAAGCTTTCTGTAAAACTCATCTTTTACATCATCTGAGCTGCAGTCAGTGGGAGAATAGGCAGAGACGACGAAGAGGCAACGACGAGTGTCCCTATCTTTCCGGATTCTTACTGTTCCGTTCAGTCGGACAGCGCACAAACGACTGTCTACTGGGATCCACTCTAAGAGAGCTAGTTCTACCCTAGGACTCAATGCTATACCTACACCGGCGAGGCCACGGGAAGCAGAATCAGGGCTTCTAGATACACGAAGCGTAAATCGAGTCGGTTCTTTATTTTGGCATGGTGAGGTCAAATGAATGACGCTACTCGGATCTTGTATGCGCGTTTCGGAGACGCAGCACACATCGATGGCGCGGGATTCTAAAGTCCTAGCTAAGGAAGCCTGCTGTCCTATTTGGCACAGTGTTCGTACGTTAAAAGCTCCTACGTGTAGTTTAGAGCGTGGTTTCAGGAGACCAGGAATGGCGTTCCGCGTACTCGAATCGTTTGCCCTAG